CTTAGGGATGGCAAGCTGCCAGACGACCGAAAAGTCCTCCTCCCGAACTCTCAATTGATGATACCCCAACCTCAAATCTATCTTTGAGAAGCAACGAGACCCTCTAAGTTGGTCAAACAAATCATCTATTCTGGGTAAAGGATACTTGTTCTTAATGGTAACTCAATTCAACTTGCGGTAATCAATACACAACCACAACGATCCATCCTTCTTTTTCTCAAAGAGAGCCGGCGCTCCCCAAGGTGACGTACTAGGGCGAATGAAGCCCTTATCTAAAAGCTCTTGGAGTTGAATCTTCAACTCATGCAACTCCGCAGGTGCAAATCTATACGGCGCCATGGAAATTGGTGTCGTTCCAGGCACTAAGTCGATGGTAAACTCAACCTCCCGGTGGGGTGGCAAACTAGTAAGGTCCTCGGGAAACACTTCCGGGTATTCACACACCACCCTTGGCAACTCAACTCGAGTCCCGTCACTCTAACTATCCAAGAGTGTAGCTAGAAGACCGCTAAGCTCATTTCTACCACTACGATCAAATACCAGCGACAGGGCCCAATCACTCTTGTCCCATAGAAAGTAAAAACAATTGCCACTAGAGGTGCACACTGTGACCCTCCGACGAAAACAATCAATCACTGTCCAATACGAAGTCAACCAATCCATGCCTAGAATGACATCAAAACTGGACATGTCTAACAACACAAAAGCAAACGGAAGTCTACGCCTGGCAACTTCTATCTCACAATCACGACAACCCCAGTCTAAATCAATCATACCCCCAACAAGTGACTCTATTCTAAGCGGAGACGCTAACTACGCCACCTCTGACCCCGATGCAGAAACAAATGCAGCAGATATAAATGAATGAGACGCACCCGTGTCTATCAGTACATTAGCCAAAGTATTGTACACAACAAAAATACCTCTCACAACGAAGGTTCCCGATAACTGCTCTGGCGCGGTAACAGCATACACACGCCCATGTGGCTCTTGATGAACTTGTTCTCCTCTTGGAGTATGGGCCTAATGTACTAACTGAGCCGAAGTGGCTCCCTGATTAGCTCGTGCAGCCTGAGCCAAATGAGCCTGGTGATGGCTGTGAGTCTGCCTCGACCCAGATGCGCCTCCCAACTGTGGACAAGTCCTCTTCATATGTCCGGGCTAACCACACTGGTAACAATTAAACCCTTGTCCCCTATTCTGGGACTGAGACTGACTCTATGATTGGTTAGGTGGTGGTGGTGGCAACATCAACTGCCCTTCTCCCTTTTGTGGGCACAAAAAGGCTTTGTGACCTGGCTGGCCACACTTGAAACACATGAAGCCACCTGATGGACTTCTCCCCGAACCCAAACTAGGCAAAGGAAAAGTGAATTTAGACTGCTGTGGTTGGGTCTGGGATGAAAAAGTACCCCTGCTCTTCTTATTCTCCCTATAGCCTCCTTGAGACTCATGGCTCCTAGACCTCGAACTCCGAAGCCTCTCCTCCTTGGCTTGCATGGAAACCTCTATGTATGTTGTCGACTCTACAAGGCGGTCATAGTTCCGGATCATGTTCCCAACAATTTTAAAGAAAATCTTGGTTTTTAACTTATTCTCGAATTCAATGCAACGGCGCTCTTCCGTTGCCACCAACTCTGGTGCAAATCTAGATAAACTTGAGTAGAGTGCCTCGAACTCGGCCACGGTCATGTCGAGCTGTTTGAGGTCTTTGAACTCTTGTCTCAATCTCTTCCTAGCAGCAGGAGGTAAATACTTATCTTGGAAAGCAACTTCAAAGGCTTCCCAAGTTGGTTCCACTCTACTCTTGGCATACTTCCACCATTGACCCGCATCCCCTTTAAGGTAGTAACTCGCTAGAGTCACTCTCAGCTCGCTATCATCAATGTGAAGCATCTCAAATGTCTTCACTGTTTGCTCGAGCCACTCATCCACTTTCTTGGGCTCAGGACCACCATAGAATTCATCCGGTTTAGCCCGCAAAAACTCCCTGGTAAGAAAACTCGCCCTTGACTCTACAGTGTTCTCTCGGGCTTGATTCTCCACTCTCAACAAATTCATAGACTCCCTCAAAGCTCCCGCCATTTCCCGGGCTAGAGCTCCCATTGCGGTTTGGCCCGTTTATTATACTTGTTCGGCTACATTAGCTTGGCCTGACTCTTCTTCTTGCACCAGGACCTCATGGACTGGTACCTCATGCACACCCCGGCGAGGCCTGCCACGTCTCCCGCCTCTACCACCACGAGTTCAACCTCTTCCTGACATTCTATAAAGGACAATAGAAACGATTTAGCACACTAACCCATGTGTGCCCGCAATTTACCTCACACGTCTAATCACTGCAATTCTATACATTTCACTACTATATAGACATTTCAATTTCATTCCACATAAGCACTTAGTCATGTAAACACATACGAATTATTCTTTCATGATGAGATTTGTCCCACGAAAAATCAAGAATTCTTAGTAGAACGAGTATTGATCAAATACCCTTCTAAGAAGACTTCAAGGAATTTAACAGGCACAAACAACATCCCAAAAGTCCAACCTCATACCCATATAGCCACATAAGCATGTTATCACATAATCACAAAATGTATAACATCTTCCTATCATGCAATCTATCATGTAGCATGAACCCATTGTGGTAAAATAACCACTTCCCACGAGCTCCAAGTATTCAAACCCGGTAGGTCTAATACCAAGTTGTAACGCCCCAATTTTCATACCAAAATGATAATACATTTACTTCAAATCAAAATAACATAAACTAATAAATACCCTCATGGGTTCACAAGTTTCCAAGGCTAAGGCCCGGTTACACAAATCGGTTATTTAAACCCATACAAATATAGCCCTTGGCTTACAAAATAGAGTCATGCAAAGTGAGAGCATTGTACTCCCAACACACACATTTCCACACCCTCAGTTGGGCGGAATCACCACGTCTTTTCCTGCACAATAATCCCGTAGGGTGAGCATAAAGCCCAGTAGGAAATTCTTAATAAAGTATATATGTTTTATACAAGTCTCAAAAGATGTATGCATATGCCATGCTATGTCTTTTTGCAAATAAATTACATCTTCCTCTTTTGAAAATCATCATGCTCAATGATGCGATGCAATTCCATTGTTCAAAACTTAACAATTTCATTCAAGGAGCGGTAAATACAACTATGGTAATCCTTAGGTCGGTGTCTGTAAGTAGACTATACAAGTGCTACCAAATTGTCATTTTTATAGGTATTAACCGGAAGGCTCAACACCTATTCGCGCAACTTTCTAGTCTTTCACCAAGGACACTCAGGCTAACTTAATCAATTTCGTCTACACCATCTATCGAGACTCACCACCGTATTTACCCCAAAACCATTTCATGAAAACCCGTTTCCAAACATTCTTTTCTCAATGCAAGGTTTTCAAATCAACATTCAAAGTTCAATGTAACCAAATGCATTGATATGCCAATGCAACAATAATCAATACAAAGCAACAATTCTTCCATTTCCAATTCTTCCACACAATTCTACCATTGTGATCAAAATTCTCATTTCTCCTTTCCATGCAATTTCACAAAGATAAATAAATATACATTTATTTCAATTCATCCGAGGAATAACACATCTTCCATATTTCAAGTATTTTTAACAAATTAGCCATTTCAAGACTAAATCAATATTTTAAATAACAATTTTCAAAATGAACAACAACTCTTATATTTCTCAAAATTTATCATTTATACAATATAAACAAGAAATTTTCCAAACATCATTTATTTTGGGCATTCAAAATAAATATAACAATATCAACCATGGATTTTCAACTTCTCTTTCAAAAAATCCCCAATTTCTAGGTTTTCTCACCAAAGCCATCCATCATTAAACATTTGAGAAAAATCTCACCAAAATCCTCTTTCTTCAATCAACATACTTCAAAACCCTCAATTTCTATTTTTTAGGAAACAAGAAAGTAAACCCGCTTTCAAAAATTACTCATCTTCTTGAATCAACTACCCATTTTCAAAGCAAATCAAAGGATGATTTCAAAATCATCTAGATCTTGCAAAAACATATATACAACTCAAAGAAAAATCCCTATCTCAAGTTTGAAGAAGAAAAGAGTTGGAAATCCCAAAATCAACGACGATGAAACTCGATCTCCACTGCACACAATGTAGCTCTCGTGTAGACAACTAACTTTGATGAAGAACTTAGATCTAAATCCCAATGGATTTGGAGAAATCAAAGATCTTGTGAGGTTTTTGGTAGGAAATGTAGAGAGAAGGGAGAGGAAATGTTTTTAGAGAGAGAGAGAGATACACAAAAATGACACCCAATCAGCCCAAAAGAGGAGAAAAGAGAACAAAATTTCGGATCCACCTACCTCCCGCACGTTCGGAGCCTATTCCTGCACATGCAGCATGTGCTCCCGCACGTGCAGCCCTCCTCTCCCTGTACTTCAGCCGCACGTGCAGCGTGTGCTCCCACACGTGCGGCCTATTGTCGCACGTGCAGCGTGTGCTCCCACACGTGCAGCCAACACTCCCGCACATGCGGCCCTCCTCTCCCTGTACCTCAGCCGCACCTACTTATTTAGCAGTGTGTTGCAAACCTTGCCCCTGAAATCCGAACGTGCGGCCTCACACCCCGCATATGTGGCCCTCTCTAGCACATGCGGCCCAAGGCCCCCGCACGTACGGCCCTGACTCTCAGCCCGAAATTTCCTCGGTTCAACTCCCGATGCTCTGGACCGATCTCGGACAAGCATTTTGCATTTTTGTTTTGAGGGGCACTGCTCCTCAACCCCGCCAAGGGGCGCTGACCCCTGGACCCCCGTGAGCTGACCGGGCAGCTCGACCCCCGCTAGGGCGCTGCCCTTGGACTCACCAAGGGGTGCAGTTGAAGTGGCAAAACATAAAAGGAGGATCGAAATCGAGATCGCTACAACCTTCCCCCTTTAAAAAATTTCATCCCCGAAATTTCAAATCAAACTACTCAACAAGGGTTTCTAGTGTAAAAATCTCACCAAGGCGGGGTTTGATGAGATTTGGTAAGAGTGGTAAATTGTCTCCAAGGTTCATTGGACCTTTTGAGATCTTTGAACGAATTAGGGAAGTGGCATACTGGTTAGCCTTACTGCCACAGTTTTCGGGGGTTCACAATGTGTTCCATGTATCTATGCTTAGAAAGTATGAACCCAACCCTTCACATGTACTTGATTGGGTTGATTTGGATGTAGAAGAGGATGCCGCTTATGAAAAGCAACCGGTTCAAATATTAGATACTCGGGAGCAAGTGCTACGGGGTAAAACTATACCGTTGGTAAAGGTGTTGTGGAGAGACCATGGGGTTGAGGAAGCGACATGGGAACGGGAGGCGAAAGTCCGCTCTAAATAACCAGATTTGTTTGAAAATGTTTAAAATTGCTTTTCGTTGTAATATTCTCTAGTGTTTGAGGGAAATGCATTGGGATTGTTAAATACATGTTGTTATGTATATTGTTATTTTAAGCATGAAGTTGTTGTGGGTTGTCATTTATTTCTGGGAAACTTCACGTTTATGAGTAGTTGTGAGGTTGTTGATAATGAGGTCACCATAATGTAGTGGTGAGATTTGATTGGGAACCAATATTGTGATTTGAAAATGAAGCAGCGTGTCACTAACTTCAAAGGATAAAGGTCGTCTCCTCTTATCGGCATAACTCTTTTGTCGGTTTTGGGCCGTAGCTAACCTCTTCCGAATGAGAACAACTTTCTTGGTTGTCTCTCTAACAAGTTCAGGACCCAGTAACGGTGCGTCACCCACTTCGGCCCAACAAACCGGTGATCTACAAGGTCGGCCATACAAGGCCTCAAATGGTGCCATCTCAATACTAGCTTGATAACTATTGTTATAGGCGAACTCAATCAATGGTAAATGCTTCTCCCATGACCCCTTGAAATCAAGGACACAAGCTCTAAGCATGTCCTCCAAAATCTAAAAGGTACGTTCCAACTGTCCATCGGTTTGAGGATGATAAGTGGTGCTAAAGGTCAACTTCGTTCCCAACGCCTCTTGAAGGCTTTGCCACAACCGGGCAGTAAAACGAGGATCCCTGTCCGACACAATAGTCACAGGGACTCCATGAAGTCGAACTATCTCTCTAATGTACAACTCTGCCAAGCGTTCAACTGAATCGCTGGTGCACATTGGAATGAAATGGGTAGACTTAGTCAACCTATCAACAATCACCCAAACGGCATCATTACCTCGTTGTGTTCTAGGAAGCCCAACTACAAAATCCATGGTAACGCGCTCCCATTTCCACTTGGTTATCGGTAAGGGTTGTAACAAACTCGCTGGTCTTTGGTGTTCGGTCTTCACTTGTTGACAAGTAAGGCACTTCGATACAAATAAAGCGACATCCCACTTCATACCCCCCCACAAAAACTGACGACTAAGATCATGATACATTTCAGTGCCTCCCGGATGTACCGCAAGGCGTCAGTGATGGAACTCCTGAAGTACTTCCTCTCTACAAGATTCTGGTACAAACAAACGGTCTAGGTAACGTACACTCAGATCCGAGTGAACGTTCAAACTTTTCTTTGCCTTCCCATTGGAAATTCTAACCCGAATAGACTCTACCTCATGGTCCTCTTGTTGTGCCTCTATGACCCTACTAATCAAAGTGGGTTGAGCATTCATTGTGAACAATGTAGCACTCTCGCTGGACTCACCCAAGTGCAAACCAAACTTACCAATTTCACCTAGCATAACCCATTCCCGAATGGCCACACTTGCCAAACTACTCACAGTTTTCCAACTCAAAGCATCGGCAACCACATTAGCTTTCCCCGGATGATAGTGTAACTCAAAGTCTTAATCCTCCATAAATTCCATCCATCTCTGTTGATGCAAGTTCAAGTCTTTCTGAGAAAACAAATACTTAAGACTCTTATGATCAAAGAAGACTTCGAACTTCTCACCATACAAGTAATGCCTCCAAATTTTCAAGGCAAAAATTACCGCCGCTAATTCTAAATCATGGGTGGGGTAATTCTTCTCGTGAGTTTTCAATTGTCGTGATCCGTAGGCCACAACTCTTCCCTCTTGCATCAAGAC